AATTCTTCGCCTAGGGGGGGGTTGAGCACACATTGGTCTTTCCAACGTTGTCATCATAACTTTGTTATGTGATAGGGTAGCATGCGCATGTTCACAATACCTTAAATTGTCCAAGCCGAGGATTATAGGCTAAATACGGCGGTTGTCATTGTTGAAGACTGAAGACTGTAACACTGAGTGCGTGTGGCTATTATTGTCCAAGTCGTCCCAACGAGTCCCCACTACCCACTAGTGGAGTGGTGGTGGTGTCATCGGGCCCGCAACACTGAATTGTACGTGTGGCTATTATTGTCCAAGTCGTCCCAACGAGTCCCCACTACCCACTAGTGGAGTGGCGGTGGTGGTGTCATCGGGCCCGCCACACTGAATTGTACGTGTGGCTATTATTGTCCAAGTCGTCCCGACTAGTCCCCACTACCCACTGGTGGAGTGGTGGTGTCATCGGGCCCGTAACACTGAATACGCGTGGCTATTATTGTCCAAGTCGTCCCAACAAGTCTTGACAGACTCCACTACCCACTGGTGGAGTGGTGGTGTCATCGGGCCCGTAACACTGAATACGTGTGGCTATTATTGTCCAAGTCGTCCAAAGTACTCCAAACTAGTCCCACTACCCACTGGTGGAGTGGTGGTGCCCGCCCGCCCACCGGTGGTGTCATCGGGCCCGTAACACTGGATACGTGTGGCTATTAATTGTCCAAGTCGTCCCAACCAGTCCCCACTACCCACTGGTGGAGTGACTGGTGGTGGTGTCATCAGGCCCGCAACACTGAATACGTGTGGCTATTATTGTCCAAGTCGTCCCAACCAGTCCCCACTAAACACTGGTGGAGTGGTGGTGGTGGTGTCATCGGGCCCGCAACACTGAATACGTGTGGCTATTATTGTCCAAGTCGTCCCAACCAGTCCCCACTACCCACTGGTGGAGTGGTGCGGCCTGTGGTGGTGTCATCGGGCTCGATCCGGTCTCCTTATTCATATTTGGCATTTTTGGTTGGTCCATTGCAACGAATACAGTATCAGTCTTGTTGACTGTAATGGCGATGACCTGATGTACAGTACAGTATTGTCAAGACTGCTGAGAAAGGAAAGCTGGTTTCTTTCTAGTAGTCGTTGCTTGATGAATGAGAGAAAGGATTGCAATACTCTTGAATGCCTCCAGGCAATACAGTACCGTATGTGCCGTAGTCGAAAGTGCTTGAGTTATTGTTGTTTTTACGCTGAGTTTGCAGTTGATCAAATTGCAAGAAAGAGATTAATGGCAATCGCTGTTTGTTAGGAAGCGGTGATACAGTAGTCTACAGTACAGTAGTTGTAAATCGAATCATAGAAATTGGTAAAAGGTATCGCTGGCAAACGCAACGCAAAGTATAACGAGCGAGGGATCAATAGTACAGCGTGTACAGGTGTAATTATTAAAAAGTCTTTGATTCCCCCTCAAAAATGGAGAAAAATATCACTTGAATTTCCCAAATACTTTACAGTACCGTACAGTGTACAGTACAGCGTAGAGCAGAGTACAGTATACAGTACTGTACTGTACTGTTAAAGACGGCCATACAGAACTGTAGTGTACTGTCACGGACTACTAAAAGAAGACCTTTTGAAATTTCCTATTTCGTAGAGTGTTGTCAAGGCGCTATAGCTTATGAGGTTATGCCTCAATTGCACAATGGACTGCCTATGAACTTCCAAGATAGACATAAACATGTACAGTACTGTACAGTAAGCTCCAGGCATATAACTAGAGCATAAGATTTCAGTAATGCAATGAAGATCAACCATGATATTAGCAAAAAATGAATTCAAAAGTACCTACAGTACAAAGTACTGCTCATTGTACTTATAGTACTGTACTGTACAGTACAGTACTGTACTGTACCAGTACAGCCATCCACTGTACTGTACAGTACAAGTCGTACAGTACTGTACAGTACAAGTCGTACAGTACTGTACAGGATGTACAGTACAGTACAAAAGGTGTCCACTTTTGTGTTGGCTCGTAATACTGTACTGTGAGCAGAAGACTTTTCACTGCAATGTAGTGTACAACCTATACTAAAGAGGACACATATTTTCCACATTGCCAATACTGTATTAGTCCATGCAGTCTGTACAAACCATGGTAGTACAAACAGACTTCTACTAGAAGGACTACGGTTACAGTATGTACAAAAGGTGTCCACTTTTGTATTGGCTCGCAATACTGTAATGTGAGCAGAAGATGTTTCACTGCAGTGTAGTGTACAACCTATACTACAAAGGACACATATTTTCCACATTGCCTATACTGTACTGTATTAGTCCATACAGTCTGTACAAACTATGGTGCAAACAGACTTATACCAGAGGCAAAGAAGGACTATGGCGACAGTATGACACAACGATGTTCTACCTAGTCGGGAGTAGAATGTCGGGAATTTTGAATTTCTAAATTATTATGAGGAGGAAGGTTGAGGATGCTACCTTGAGAACATTACAATTGGTAAATCCAATACCAAGATCAGTAAATAGTAGCCCGTCTCAACTATACTAGTGAATGACAAAGAAATAGACTAGGAATACCAGATCCACTACTGATGTCAGGTAATGGACAGCCCACCAATAAAAGCAAACAAAATTCCCCAAGGCTCTTGATAATTCTGATCGTATTCAGTCCATGCTTGCTGCTTGCTACGCATTGCGATATCGTTTCCGTCTATTTTTCACCTCATGCATTGACAAGCTCTGCGGTAGCACTACTATACTGCATCTAGTGATACGACTACTATGAAGTTCACTGTAGGGACAGTTTGAAAGCAAATTGAATGGATCGCTACTGTTCATGTGTTTATATGTCAAAATGTCTCCAACGTCATTTACTGCTGTACTGTATTACTCCATCAAAATTTCCCCAAGTCTGGTCTGGGGCGGTATTCCTTAAAAATCACCGTGCAAAGAACTGATATACGGATAGGCCTTGCGTAGTTGCTACGTTGGAAAAGAACTCATTGCCTATTTTTCTATTCAAGCTGTCGTATCGATCGATTGCCATCCAATAAAAATTGAAAACGATGTGGTAAAATAACAGTAAGACAAGATAATCAGATGGTAGTATGTCTCCATACAGTCTAGTACGGTACATATAGCCCCTGGAAAAGATGAAACTGATTGGTTTGCACTTCTACAGCATAAAACAGAAAGAAAGAAAAAGAAAGAAGCGACAGGGACGTAAAGCGATTCCCTTGGCGTCCCTCCCTCTTTCTTTCCTTTTAGTACAGACTGTACTGTAGTCCCATAGTTTCGCCCATTCCACAGCAACAGACAGACGGATGTGACATACGGCACCGTATTTCAACCGATCTGTCTCAGGACCAGCGACAGTCGCACGGAAGGTACGGCATTGGTCGGCACAAGATCCAGCTGGGAAAATTTGGAAGCGGGTAGCAAGTTTGAAAATTGAAATTGCCATCTCTCTTCATTTTCTCAACTTTCCTCAAGCTAACGGCTAACTTCTTACAGGTCTGATACTAGTAGTGGCTATTTTCAACTCTTTTTCTGTGTTGGATTAGTTCATTTTTTTTTTGAGAAACACTTGCAAGCTACAGGAGTCCGTGTCGCTCTTGTTGAGGAAAAATGGAGGGGGGGTAGTTTGCGGATGCCAGCGCCTACAGTAAACTCGATCATGATTGCGGAGTACTGTAGAAGCGATTGCAAATGGTTGCGACTGTTGGGATTGCGAGTAGAAGCAGATAAAATATCAGCAAGTATCGAGTTGTATTCGTCTAGCAACTTGCTCTTTTTCCCCAAG